CTAGTCGTACTTTGGATATTAGTTCCTTTGTCCACGCAAGCTCCTGGATTTTTTCTCCAACCGATATCTCAGGAAAACCAGATCTAAATTTCAATATTATGGTTATCCAAACTTCAAACTCATTTCCTACATCCTCATTACCTATCAACTCATCTCCATAAACAATACCTCATTCAAAATTTCTCAGTTGATGAAAAATCGTTTAATCGTTACTGCAAAGTAATTCGCAATGTTTTGCGAATTTGCAATGCAAGCAACTAAAGAAATTTCTCCAGCTACTCGAGAAGAACAACCACTGCACGATATAACGTTCTTGTCAACATTAAACAGCATCTTCAATGCAAAAGAACTTGACGTAAAATAAACAAAATCCATAGCAAATGAGAAGCGAGACGGAAAATAAAGCCGACGAATTACAAAAATTAAATAAAGAAATATCCAAAGCTGTTAGACAAGACACTCGAAAATATAACCAAGAACAAATCTAACATCATTGAGAACAATAAAGAACATTCTGTTCAGGGTTCTTCAGTTGTGAGATGTCTATTTTTCTTGTCACTGTTTTCTTTTTGTCTTTGAGAAATCTTCTTAATCTAAAATCCATTATAACTGGATTGGGGTCACTATGTATATAAGCTCCAGGGTATGTTTTCGTAAATTGTATGTACTTCTTAAAGGTGTTATTGAGCAAAATGAAGTCTAATGAAGAACCGGCTTCTGTCTCCGGCTTCTATACAACATGTAGCTTCTCCTTAAAATTTTATAGTGTTTGTTTGTCTTTGTGTATTGTATTTTGTATTGTTATGTCCAAATTTTGCCAGGAGAAACAACTAACTATCATGAACACCTGGTTCAAGCTACCACTACGGAGGCTATATACGTGGAAATCACCCGCAGATAATAAAAACAATTGTGTCCGAAATCAAATCGATTACATTATTATAAACCAGCGATATAGAAATGCAGTAACGGATACAAGAACATACCCAGGCGCAGATGTTCCATCGGATCACAACCTACTAGTGGCTAAATTAAAAATAAAGTTCAAAATGCTAAAAAAGACTGACAAAAGAAAAACCGACATCAATTTACTTAAACAAGAAAATATACAAAGTATGGTAAAGACTAAACTCAACGAGGAATGTGAAAGACTCCAAAGAGAGTTATCACCAACTACAGAAGGCTTATGGACTGAAATCAAGAATGCTTTTACTAGCGCCGAGAAATATATAAAAGACACTAATAACAAAAGAAAATCTAAACCCTGGATGACACAAAAAATTCTGGGAATGATGGATACTCGAAGAGCCTACAAAAATAAAGATAATGAAAAATATAGGGAGATACATCGTCAAATCAAGAAAGAAATAGCTACCGCAAAAGAAAATTGGATGATAAAAAACTGCCAAGAGATCGAAGAATTAATAAAGAGACACGACAGTCAAACGCTTCACAAAAAAAATAAAAGATCTAGCTGGAATGACAAAACAAAGACTCCCTTGTAGATTAACAAACGACGAGAATGAAACGATATGGGAATTAAGCGATCTAAACAACGTATGGGGACATTACATAGAAGAACTATTCTCAGACACACCACTAAACAACATAATATATAAAAACCATGAAACCAGTCCTCCTATATTAAAACAAGAAGTAGAGAGAGCAATCAAAAACGCAAAAAATGGGAAAGCCCCTGGCCCCGATAACATACATACGGAAGTCATAAAGCTACTGGAAGAGAAACATTCGTCAAATTATTTAATCAAATATATACAAGCGGTGAAATTCCACAAGACTGGTTAAAATCAGTCTTTATTCCCCTTCCAAAAACTAAGGGAGCAAAGAAGTGTGGTGATTTCAGACTTATTAGTTTAATGTCGCATATGTTAAAGTTATTCTTGAAAGTTATTCACCAACGCATTTATAAGAAATGTGAACAGGATATCAGTGATGAACAATTTGGCTTCCGAAATGGATTTGGGACACGCGAAGCATTAACCAGTTTTATTATACTGCTGCAAAAATGTCGAGACCAAAAAAGGATCTCTTTTTATGTTTTATTGACTATCAAAAGGCCTTCGACAAAGTAAAACATGATAAGCTGATGGATTGCCTTCACAAAAAGGGACTAGACGAGAACGATTTTAAAATTATCCAAACGCTGTATTTTAACCAAACTGCAGCAGTTAGAACAGAAGCCGGTGACACAGAAATATTCAATATCAAGCGAGGTGTACGACAGGGGTGTGTATTGTCACCACTACTTTTCAATATATATTCGGAAGAAATCTTTGCACGAGCACTAGAGCAATCAAGAGAAGGTGTTAAAATTAACGGCAGAGTTCTAAATAATGTACGATACGCCGACGACACGGTCCTAATTGCAGAGAGCGCACAGGATCTCCAGACACTCTTAGATCGCGTCAGATCGATCGGAGAACAATACGGCCTCAGCATTAACGTCAAGAAAACAAAAACAATGATTGTCTCCAAAACATCCATCCATCCACCCATGGCTTTAAACGTGAATGGTAACATTATCGAAAATGTCGAGAAATTTCGATATCTAGGGTGCTGGATAACGAAAGATATAGATCCAGACATAGAAATAAAATCGCGAATTGAACAAGCAAGAAATGTCTTTTTAAAAATGAAACAAATGTTTACGTCCCAAACACTCAATCTCAAAATCCGATACCGAATGCTGAAATGTTACGTTTACAGCACCTTACTATATGGAATGGAGGCCTGGACCTTTAAAATCAACTCACTAAGGCGTTTGGAAAGTTTTGAAATGTGGTTATTTCGAAGGATGCTGAAAGTCCCCTGGACAGCGCATATGAGCAACGAGCAGGTCCTACACAAGATGGGTACCGACAGAGAACTCTTAAGAATAATGAAAACACGGAAAACCTCATATTTGGGACACATATACAGAAATGAGAAATACCAGCTACTGCAGCTTCTTATAGAGGGGAAGGTAGAAGGAAGACGTGGTCCTGGTAGACGGCAGGCGTCCTGGTTGAAGAACATTCGTGAGTGGACTGGTTTGGATTCTCAATCTTTAATAAGAAAAGCCAGGGACAGAAATGATTTTGCTGAGGTTATCGCCAACCTTCATTGAAGACGGCACCCAAAGAAGAAGAAGATGTCCAAATTTTATGGACATAAATATCAATTATATCATAGAATAGAAGCAATTATAATATAGAATATCATTATTTATGATATTCTCCTCATGTCGGATAGGCCACAACTGACGAAATGCCCCTGAAGATGATCTATTGATCGAAAGTACTTGGGCAAGATTAAATTAATCACCGTGTTCGATAGTTGCCTTGTATACCCTCAAAGAAAATATAATAGCCAGACAGCTACGTAGTGTTGCTGTCTGGTTTCAATACAGATTGGCGATAATTCTTCTATCCTTGGCGTCCAATCCCAGCCCTTGTAGGTATTTTATCATCAATTCGTGTTTTACATTATCGAATGTTTTTTCATAATCGATGAAACAGACAGAACCATCCTTTCTTTGATCTATACAATTCGGTATTAATGTTTGCATGCTAAAGATCACTTTTCTCATGCCAAGTCCATTTTTGAAACCAAACTGAATTCATCCACTGATCTCTTTACATTTCTTAAACAATCTAGTGTGCAGTATTCTCAGGAAAAGTTTTAAAAAGTGACTTATTAGACTTATTAGTCGGTGGTCCTTGCAGAAGTTCGCACGTGGTGTTTTTGGTAGGGCGATAAACGTAGAGCGAAGCCAATCGTTTTGGAATCTGACCCGTATCGTAGATGTGGTTAAAGAGCTTGATAATAAATAAGGCTTTCACTAAATAAGGAAGTATATTTTATGAAGTTGTAATTTGTGATCTCATTGAACAAAAACTAGTTACAATTTAGGAACACGAAGTAGTTTCACAAATATGTACAGGCAGTTTTAATTGCACAGTTACAAATAGACAATTGTACTAATTTTATCCTAGCAATTTAAATACCAAAAGAGAAAATTAACAATTTTTACAGAAAATATTAGGAATATATTATTAAATAATCGAGAGTTTCCTCACGGACATAAGATTGGTGCTAAAATCTTTAAATCGATTCAAATATATTCAGAAAAGTTATTCGTAATTAATACCTAATATTTTCGTTAAGCAAAAACGATAAACAACTTACTTTAGTCACTATCGATACTGACTTTATTTTTCCTCGGTTGATATCGCTAATTGCATCCTAGCCAGTGCGTTTTGATCTAGCTCAATCTTGTCACAAGTCTTTCTGATGAATGGTAAACCTTGCAATACGTGAAGAGTAGTGAGAGACTTAAATTGAATCAAAACACAACCGTCTATATATTTTTTTATAATATTTTTTTGTCGGCAGTTAGTTTAAAATCCTAATTACGTTATTTTTGGATGCAGATACTAAAAGTTAGTTAAAAATAAGTAAAGGTTGAATAAAATAAAATTGCTGTTCCTCAGTGTTATCCAAAATTACTTTTCTCTTTTGATATTAATTGTCAAGATTTCTACGCATATGTTAATTATAAACATACATGTTTGCTCAAAAATTGACGATTGAGAGCCCTCATAGAAAGGAGCTTGTAGAAAATTGCTCACAAAATACAATATTTACAACTTTGGTCTTGTAAAAATGTGTTGTCAATGTAAATATTTCCAACAAAGTAACCCAACAAACAAGTCACGTTGGTTAAGATTCAAGGATTCTTTTTTGGAGCCAATAATAACAAAAAAATTCAATAACCAAGAACAATTTCCTTAGTACATTATTGTATACACGTAGGGAATAAAATTACTCATATAATCTACTTCAAATTAAATCGTAATCATTTGACTACTAGATAGCACAATTACAAGCTAAGATACCTTTATTGAATCAATGAATAGTTTCCTTGTTGGACTTTTTATCATTTCAACACTCACAATTTATTTAAAAATTAACTAAAATAACAATTTATTCTATTACCCCTAATCGCTTTTAGAATGCTTATGAGCTGACCCGTTGTTATTGTTATTCACATTATCTGCATCAGAGGGCGCATCGTGACCCTTTACCGTAAAAGTGACATAATACCTCTTGTTTTGATCCAGTTTATTAGTTGGCAAAGATATGATTTGCTTATCACTTCCGTGCGTTAATTCCAACGTGACAGCCTTCTTTGGGTTAATAGTTGGTAGGAATCCTCCAGTTCCTGGTTTGCATTCTACTGAGTTGAAACCTATCTTGGGTATAGAGTGATGGTCCATTTTGGGCACTGAAAATTAGATTCAAAAATAAACCATTTTACTTATAAAGGAATATTACTTCAGTAGCTGAACATATAAGTTTTTTTAATTCTACAAATGAAAATGTAGCCATAGATTTTTTAAAGATGTACACTTTATTTACTTGTCTTTAATTTTATTACCTGTTAGTGATCGGGAAATCAGAAATGTTTTACATATCTTGAACATTCACATTGTACATTGTATATTGACTAAATAAATTATATTCTCTTCTCTTCTTTTCTATTCTATTCTATTCTATCTGTGTATCATAATATAGTCATCATATGATGCCATATCATCCTTTTAGTCTCCCAGATTTCATTATTAATGTTATTCCGTTCTGATTGAACCGATAAGTTGGTCAGGTTTCTCGCAGTCTATAATATCCCATTCTAGCCCTCCTCTTATAATATGTGTAAAGAAGAGAGGTTCATCAGAGCTTTATAACTGCCGTCGGAGTACCCGTCATTGCCCCTGTGATTCCGAGAGAAACAAGTCTTTGTACCTTGCTTAAGTTGAAGATGGTACTTTTTTACTACACCTTGGCCACTATACCACTGATGCATGTATAATTACTGGTTTTACCGCCATGTTATAAACACAATGTAACATGGCTAGTTTTAAACTCCACAGTTTTCCATGAGTGCGTCTGGCTACCATTAAGCCCTACATACAGCCCTGCATTAGGAAAAACTAGTCAGGGCCTATTTTATTTTAGCTCTGACTGTGCTATTAAATTCACGTGGGTTAAAATAGCAAGGTCATCCGCATAGTTGAGAACATGATATTTGTCGTTGCTAGTCTAGCTAACAGTCCATCCATGAGAGCCTTTGGCTACTTGTCTCTATCTAATTAGCCTTTTTCGGTCCATCTTTGGACATAGGCCTCCTTAATCCTTATTTGTACTTACACTATATACACCAGTAATGTTGCGCATATCACACGGCTCCCAAGCATGCTGCAATTTTAGACGAATTGTCCTTTTAATAGCTTCCTGCAAAATGCCTGACGCCCTGTTAAAAATGCCCCCAACATCACCTCTTGGTTATCCAAATTTTCCTTTCTACAAGATGATGCAGTGCCGTTTCCCTAAAGATAAAAATTTGATACGAAAACCACAAATACTTACAGTAAGCTGCACAAGGAACGCCAGTATAGGCATGTGCAGCATGCATACATCTGTTAGTACTTTTCGTACATAACAAAGGATTGACTGGTGTTTCTGGTAGTCCTCTCATATATTCAGCATTATTCCGCTGCAACTTCCTTAATGCTTCGTACAGGAACTTCTCAAAACTCTTAAACGTATAGTCGTCAGCAATATATCGGCCCACTCCAATGGTGGATGCGCAGGATTTGTGGTACGCATCGATTGCTCTTTTAACTAGAACAGCTTCGTTGTGTTGGCCAGCTCGTATTTGGTGACGCTTTAGCTCTAGAAGTTGTTGGAATATCTTCCTTTCCAGGTGATATCTAAAAAATTGTAAAGTGATAAAAATTAAGCGTTAAAGCATATTTCTAGTGATAAAATTTTCATTTTTATTGTTTTTTTTTCTTTGTTAAATTTTTTCTTGGTCATTTTTGGATTCAACTGTTGAAATAAAATTATTTAAACAGAGTAAATTAGACATATTTTCTAATTCCAATGCTTCATTGTTTATAAAGATAGAGACATCATGTGCTGTGATGTCACCACGGCATCGTGATGACATTATGAACTTTTTTTTTATAAAAACTTATATTTTTATGTGTTAGTGCACTTCTATAACAGTAAAAAATTAATCTAATTAAAAATCTAAGACTAAATAAATATTCCTTTAAATTCGACCTTACTGGTTGCTACGTTTGCTGATTTGCTGCATTTAGAAAATGACATAGAAAGCTAGTAGCTAGCCTATAACACTATATTATTATTAAGTCTCCAAAAATTCATTACTCAAAACAAGAACATATGCAAGACTTCAATTACCATAACCTGCATAACATCCCAATATAGCCCAGTACAGATATACTAGAACACAATAAACCTTACCTTCTAATATTAGTTTGAATATTCTGCGTCACCGAAGTCATATTTACACCTCTCTGTGTCATATTCTTCCATTTTGGTACTCTAGTACTTCTTGGACTAGGTTCAAACCCCGAGTCAATCAAGTTGCTGCTTTCGTAATCACTTCCAGCACTTCGAGCTTCTCGTGTTTTGGATCGCCTCTTTACAAATCTCTTGCTTTTAGTAACGTTCCGCTTTTCGTCATCTAAATCAGAAATACTGTCTCTGTCTTTGTCACTCAGCATAGAAGTAAGCAAGGGAGCTGACATGTTAGAATCACATCTTATTGGCTCCCTAATCATAAGACGTTCGTCCCTGATGTTGGGTAACGATGGAATTCGAGTGTCTAAATTAGTCTCTCTATAAGATTCATTCAAATGCCTATCACTTTTGGATAGATTGCTTTTAAACAACGGAATTTTACTTCGTTTTGCCATATCTTTCTTAGCTTTATTTTCAAGAGACTTTGATCTAGGTTCCTCTATAGAGAGATCTCGTTTTGGTCTAGGTTTTCGTCTTTTAGTATCATCTATTTCATCCAATTCTTTGTCAGTTAAAACTCGAAAACTTTTGTGAGCTCTTTCAGGATGATCCTCATCCTCTGAATAGCTTGACAGATCACTTAAATGCTTGCTATTCTCTTCTTGTTTCTGTTTTCTTGTTTTAGGTACTTTAGACTGAGTTTCGCTCTTCTCAATTTTTCGACTTTTAGATTTTTCTTCTGTTGCAGTTTTATCTTTAATTCTCTTCTTTTGATCTGTTTTTCCGTTCTTTTTCAAACCTGTTTCTTCAGATTTAGAGGAATGCTCGTCAGATTTCTTCTTAGATTCTTTTAACATATCTTTCTGCTCTGAGGATACATGTGTTTGATCATCTAATTTTTCATCTAATTTAGTTACTGGAGATGCTTGTTCATCTACTTTAATTTGTTTTTCGATTTCGGTTAAATCTTTTTCATGAACAGTTTCGGGTGGATCTGTCGATATTACTTCTTGTTTTTCTTGTTTATTTGATCCTTGAATATCTGTCTGATCCGATACTGCTTGTAATGGAAAATCTACTTGTTCATTTTGAGCTGCCCCTTTATGAATATCTGTATCACCTTCAATTTTTTTACTAATTTGTTGACTATCACCCTCAGTTCCGTTTGTTTGTGGTGCAAAATCTCCAGAAGGTGGCTGAGATTCATCTTCTATCTTTATATCACTTTGTGTCACCTCGATTTCTTGTGGTAATTCTAGAACCAAATCTTTGCCGTTTGTGCCTGTCCCTTCTTTTTGTTTGCCATCTGTCGCAGTAAGATCTGACTTCTCAAGTTGCTCGCTAACATCTTTCTTTTGCTCATTTTCAGCCATATCTCCAATTTTTTCTTCCTTACTTGCTCTTTCAATATCAGTTTCTTTTCTTGGAGTTTCTACTAAAATGCTAACATTGGAAGTTATTTGAGTAATTGGTTGTAGTGCTTCTTTTTCTAGTTCTGACGAGACTTGAGGTTGGGGATGTACAGACGCTTCAACTACTATTTCCTTTTTTGGTTCTTCCACATCTTCACTTGTATATGACATCAATGAGTGTTGATCTTGCATTGGACCCGAAGATTGTTTGGGCTCATCAGCGATATCTTTTTCAGGCGAAGAAAATTCAGCTTGAGTTACTATTTTTTTACCTTCCTTTGCAGTATCGATTGCTTCTTCAGAGGTGCTGGTACTATGATCTATTTTAGAAACACTAGCTTGACTTGATATACTGATCATGGTTTCTTTATTTAATGATGATTGGGCAGATTTATCTCTAAGTCTACTATACTTGGCGCTTCTAGGTCTGCGGTCCTTTTCTACAAATTTAGCAGATGTTTGCGTTTGAACTGATTCTTTATCTAAAACAATTTCTCCACTTTGAGAAATGTTTACTTCGGTTTTTCCATTGATAGTGATTTCGTTGCTGTAGTCTATTCTACTAGGTGTTCTTTTTCGGTCTTCGCTTTTTGAGGTAGCAGGTTTTTCGGTAGACTTTTGTCGTGAAAGTTTTGTTTTTTCTGATTCACTTCCAGATACAGATACTTTTTTCTTTTCCTGTCTACTATGAGGAACCCGTTTTCTAACTGTCTTAGCTTCACTTTTACTACCGCCAGCTTGTTCTCTTTCACTTTCAGATGACGTATCTCCATAAAACGTAACATCGTCCCTAATTTGCAGATTTAAGGCACTATTAACTTGTGGCTTGGTCGGATCGCTTAGTCTAGAAGCTGGTATTCCTCCATGAAGCTGTAAATATTTGGCAGTAGATCTATATCCTCGTTGCAGGGCGCAGTCTAATGGTGTCATAAAAACGTTTTTGGAAGTTCGTAGAACTGGATTTATTTGGGCACCGGCATCCAACAAGATCTATAAACAAAGGAATTGTTACTTTTGCTTTTCCAGTAAAACAGTTTAATATAATTACATTACTAGAAATAACAATATTATTGCTGACACTCGTACGAATATATCCAGTAGCATCGTCAATAGTTTCTTGGAAATAGGTCATTGCGTCTTCAATTTTTGTGTTTTTGAATTTACCATTTTTAAATTTGTTTGATTTGGTATACTGTGTGCAAATACATAAAGACATATTGGTAATAACATCGTACAATGGCGTATATTATAATTGGTATAGTGGAACAAGATGATATGAGATCCATGAACAGTGTAAATTTGTTAATTTTTTTAAAGGAAAATTGCAGAACAACTGCAGAACGGAAATGGCGTTTTATGTAAAAGTGTAAAAAGATTTAGAAAAATACAATGTATCAAGGTATGTTCACAACATTTTGAAAACTCTAAAAAGTACAAAATAAATTCGTAATTTTAATGATAAGGCCATAAACATTTTTCAATATAAGGTTGAATGTTCGAATAATTAAACTTTGACGGTATACAAGGCAACTATCGAACACGGTGATTAATTTAATCTTGCCCAAGTACTTTCGATCAATAGATCATCTTCAGGGGCATTTCGTCAGTTGTGGCCTATCCGACATGAGTAGAATGTCATAAATGTAAATTTGGACAAAACAATACAATACACAAAGACAAACAAACACTTTAATTTTTTTTTGAAAAGGAGAAGCTACATGTTGTATAGAAGCCGGAGACAGAAATCACTCATGGAGAAATATAATTCAAAAAGCTGACCCTGCATATGGACAAAAAAAAGAGAATAATGATGAATTCAGGTAGAAGTACATGAAGTTTGTTTAGCAGTAAATGGTTGGCTTCAATTAGTACTGACTATAACTGGGTTACCCGATAATAGTATAAAAGGCCCGGTTTCAAGTAAAATTTAAATGTTTCCTGTCATTTGATGGTAGTGCGCGGTGAGTTTCCTAATCACCTTTTAAGTGGTTTCTCTGCTAAACAAACTGATATCGCAGAAGAATATATTAAAAGTCGAAGTGGTAAAGGTTATTCAAAGAATAAAGATAATAAAGCTTAATGCGTAATAAAATACATGATTAAATAGTTGAAAATTATCCAATCATGCAAGATAAATTTCAACTTGAATTTAGACATGCTTTTGGAACTGAAAAAGGAAAATATGAGAGTGGATTAGTAAAACATGAAAAAAACTGTTCAAATTTAGAGTAAACAAACTTTTGTTGATAGAGTTATCAACAATATCCAATTAAGGTATTATATTGCAAAAAGAAAAATTATATATTGAATTACTTTCCACATTAGTACAAAAACTTTTAATATAAGTTAATAAATTAGGTAAATTATACTATGTATAAATCGCAAAATAATTTTGGTTTTAATTCTAATTATTCTGTCAACCCTGTAGAATAAGTTTATTTTCCCTCCAATAAAACTTAAACCGATCATGCTACCACCAATATGCCAATACTACACTAGTACACTATACCATTAACCTGCTCTAGAGCACTTTACTAGTACAGAACTATATACACTAAATCAAACGAACAATGCGAAAGGTTACATGTGACTGGCTACAATTACCTAATTTCAAATTCAAACGGAAGCATATAGGTCAGACGGCCAATGGGCAACGTAAACAAATGTAGGAGCATGCGCCGCATGCGAAAAAATCGTAAAGGGTTTAATAGATCATGATTCATGTAAATTCTTTGTTGGTACGCAATCTTAAGATTGCGTGCAAGCCTAAAAGGGTAGAGGGTGGTCAAATCGGGGTGATGTTTAATGTGATTAACTTTAGAATTTTATGATACCTACAAGGAGTTCATTCTTAATTTCATTTGCAAAATATATTTTTAAAAAAAGAATTTTTACATAGGTATCTAGGTTTATATATATATATATATATATATATATATATATATATATATATATATATATATAAAATATAATTTAATATAAGTAAATGGAAAAGTGTATGTATATTTTTATATTTTATAAATTACGATTACAGCGACATGTTTTCAGTACCGTTTATAACACTCACAATATCTGGTGTTGTAAATAGCAAGCCCCTTAGAAGTTACCTTTAAAATAATTTCTCATTTCTTTATAATTCATATTTTTGATTATCCACGTAAAGTATGTTACCCTCGTCCAAAAGCCGTTGTACTAAAGTTATAACAACATTTTTAGTCGCTCACATATTATCCGTCGTGTCTTTTTCTTTTATATAAAGACATGTTTCACGTACATCCTCTATCCTTGCATAGCTTGTACAGTTTGATCCCATAGCGATGCCTTTTCTTTAGTACTGCCGCAAAACTAATCGAGCCCTCCAAGGAACTACGGTTTTGTCAATGCATATCTTCTCTCCAGATGTATAAGTGCCTTGGAAATTGGAAGAATTGGATTAAAGTTTTTTTTAACGGTTATCAATTTTTCAGAGGCCATTGCTTGGTACAGCTTGGTTGTTGTCAGCAAAATGCCTGACTGGCAATAACATCTCAAAACGGTTTCTGGATATTGTTGAAGGAGTCTTCTTCTTCAAGTGCCCTATCCGCTTCGGAGTTTGGCAATCATCATTGCTATTCGTATCTTTAAAGCTGTATTAGATGTGTACTGGAACCAGTCTCTTAAATTGCGCAGCCAAGATATACATCGTCTCCTCATGCTTCGTTTGCCCTGAATCTTTCCTTGGATGATTAACTGGAGCAATCGGTACTTTTTTCCTCTTACCACATGACCAAGATACTCCAACTTTCTTCTCTTGACGGTGATCAACAGCTCCGTTCTTTGTTCACTCTTCGAAGAACTACACTATTTGTTATTTTGTCTGTCCAAGGTATTTTCAAAATTCTTCTATATATCCACATTTCGGAGGCCTCTACTTTATCGGTATTGCTCTTGTTTAAAGTCCAAGTCTCTACTCCTTACAGCAGTATCGAAAAGATGTAGCATCTAACCAATCTCATTTTCAGGTTTAAGTTAATGTCATGACTTCCCAGAATGTCCTTCATATTAACAAAAACAGCTCGAGCCTTTCCAATTCTAGTTTTTATTTCTTCTGTGATGTCATTGTTGTTATTAACACTTGTTCCCAAATATTTATATTTGTGCACCCGTTCGATTTCGTTATTGTGAATGTACAGGTTTGCATTAATTTTTTGTTTTTTTCATAATATTTATTATTCTTATATCCTGTGTGTCGATATCCTTTGTTCTCAGTAGTTTTATTAACGTATTAGCTTAATATGAACATGTAATTTTGCGATTACCTCCTTACCACCCAGACTTAGATCCAATTGAGCTATGTAACAATAAAGACTAAAAACTATATTAAACAGAAGGCTTTAAGCAGGGCAATAACTTTTGTTTTCCTTCAGATTTTGGGTAATTTTTAGTAAAGAGACACATTGGTTAAACAGTTCTAGTATCCAGCGTGTCAAACTTCTTGACCTGCTCCGTACATAGGTCATCCTCGCTCGTTGTCTCGCCATGTATTCGATTCCAACGTTGAGTTCCAATTTGAAAGGGCAAGAGCAAGCATACTTTGGTGGTTCTAATAGCAGAAAATAATGTTATAATAGACTGGTTAAGGTATAACATATTTACTTCGATCCTAGTACATATTTAGTAGTACATATTTAATATGGACATGCACTTTTGCGATTACTTCCTTACCACCCAGACTTAGATCCAATTGAGTTATCTAATAATAAACACTAAAAACTATATTGAAAAGAAGGCTTTAAGTAGGGCAATAACTTTCGTTTTCCTTCAGATTTTGGCTAATTGGAGTGAAGAGACACATTAGTTAAACAGTTCTATAAAAAATAAAAGAAATATGTTTTGTATCGTAGTATCGCACCATTCGTAATTTATAGATTGGCCAACATTAACTCACGATTCGTCCAAATATATGATATTGCAATGGTCTTTTCGCAAACGTCGTATAGTTCTCAAATAATTATGGCGCCAATGAATAATATCCTCTCGCTCCACCATGATACTTTTTCGGCCACGTTTCTTATAAACAAATTCAATATCTTTCAGAAGTCTGTATAAAGTAGAAAGAGACAACGGCTGTATATTCTCATAACCTTGTATGAAGTTATGTATATGCTTTAAGAATGGCGGCAAATTTTTCATGAAAAATTCACAATGAACAATTCTCCGTAGAATACTTCTTACACCCTCGCCATATGTGAATATTCTAGAATTTGATTGACACACTCGTTTTTTACGTTTTTTTGGCGATTTCAACGTTCCACTCTGTTCTTTTTCTTTTTTGAAATTGTAAATGCTTCTTTCGCTAACACCAGTCATCAACGAAGTACGTCTTACAGCAGCACTTACATTAAGTTGTTCCGTATTTTGTAAAAAACACAACACATTTAACACTACGAGTTTAGCGCAACCGTTAAATAATTCACCGGATTTAAACTTATGGGACTCCATGCTCTCTGTTGAAACTCGGACTAAATTTGGAAGTGTAGTTTCGTTTTCCAAAATCACTTTCACCCCCTACCCATCCTTAGGATGGGTAGGGGGTGAAATAGGGAAAGCTTGGAGTTTATCAAATACTAATTAGGACAAACACGTTTAAGGTCATATTTAGGTGATTATGTTAATGATGGTAATTTGTAGCAGAAGTTTTACAAAAGAAATGAAGACCTATTTATAGAAACAACATAACTGTATTTTTAATATTTTACATACAATAGAAAAAAATCTAATTTCTATGAAAGAATTGGAAATTTGAATATTATATATAATATCTATAAATAATATCATTTCCAAGTTTCCAAATTCTTTCCTAGAAATTATGTAGGTTTTTTCTATTTTATGTAAAACATTAAAACTACAGTTATTGTATGTTGTTCTTGTAAAGAGGTGTTCAAATGTTACTCTTATGAATATGATTCAATTGTATATCTCATGTTGACGTTTTATATGCAAAATTCATAGTTTTCGTTGTCAATAACTCATCAATGCCTTTTTATTCTACTGTATACGTATACATGATATAAAATATTTTTACTCGTACTGCCGGCAGATGCATTTTATCCAAGCCGATCCTGTGAGACAATGAGCAGTCAACAGCTGGAGAAAACCGACAACCCTGCGCGTTTATTCTCCATAAGAAAAGCATTGCCGTATCTTACCCGTACTGCACTCTCAGTGTGACATTTTCTATTGTATCCAAAATTGCGCACCTGTGTCAAACTTCTTGACTTGCTTCATACATAGATCGTCCTCGCTCGTTGTCTCGCCCTTTCTCATATATCCGATTCCAACGTTGAGTTCCAATGTGAAAGGGCAAGAGAAAGCATAGTTTGGTGGTTCTAATAGCAGGAAACAATGTTAAAACAGACTGATTAACGTATAAAAATATTAACTTCGATCCTATTACATATATTAATTAGTTAACATTTAAAACCGCAATAGAGAAAGTTTTAACTCAATAGGGCCATGCAATTTTGCGATTACCTCCTTGCCACCCACACTTAAATCCAATTGAGTTATCTAACAATAAACACCAAACATTTTTGTTTTCCAAATATGTGTACTGCGAGTATGTGGCACCAAAAAAAAACATCTTTTAGTATTAGAAAGGTTCAAGACAACCTAAAAGGTTGACAACCTATTTCCAGGATAAATCAAGTAATGAGCTCTTCGACTTTTATCTACGAGTATAACCAAACTTTCTTCATTTGAATATTAAAAACACTGCAACTGGTATAATCTCAAAATATCTTTATTACTCTCTTCATTTATATCCAGAAGAACATAAACGTAACGATTCGTGTACTGAATAATAATGAATAAAATATAAATCTAAACGTTAAAAAACCTACTTAAAGAACATATTTAAATTAATGTTATATACCAACGGTCACATTTCTTATGAAAGATACAATCTTAATCTTGTTAAAAATAGCCACTCTATATGAAAATAGGCATAAATAAACATTTCATTTTTTAGAAAGCAGAAAGCTCTCAATAGGCTGGTAATTGTATTTCTCACGTAAGCTTTAGCCTTGGCGCTATAGTTAACGACAAGATATCTATCGGCGTGATCTCATTATTGTATGCACAATGTCCGAAAAAAGGTCAAAAAAATCAATTTCGCGACCCTCGAACTTTATTTCAAAATCAATGTAAAAGAAACTCCTAATCCGATGTAAACTTAAGCGATGTTACCAAAACTTATTTTAGAATAAAGCTCAGAATAGAACTAGAACTTTGATCTATTTATTTCAGAGGAAACTAAGAAAACTAGCAAAAGTTTGTTATATAATGTATGGAGGTTAATTGAGTATCGGCGTTTCCCAGTATGTTTCGCCAATCATCCTTGTCCTATGCCAATTTTCAGCTTCAATTTTTACCACGTCTTTATTTACATCTCTTTGTACATCAGTCTTGGCTTATCTTTATCTCTATTTCCTCTTTGGGGACTTTGATACTAACGTTTACCAAATTAATCCATTGATTGGTGATCCAAATTGTAGGTCTCTCTTTCATGTTCCAAAACATTGTTACACTGAATAGACCTTCTTTTAACATTGCATCACCTGATTTTTCCACCAGAATAGTATAAAAGGTTAAAAAAAGGTAAAAAACTTAAAAGTTATCATGTAGAATTAATAAACCTTACCTTGCACATATCTGCATTATCGTTCAGAGCAGCCATATGTAGAGAGCATCGACCATCATTGTTTCTTGCGTTTACTTGACTGGGTCTTATCTCCAAGAGCCACCTCACCAACTCTCGTCTACCAGACGCAGCTGCATCGTGTAAGGGAAAATCGCCTCGAGCATTTCTAAGCCATAAGTTTGCCCCATGTGAACCTATAACAGCCGATATATAAGACGGTTATTTAATATCGGTCAAAATAGTGTATGCGTCACATCTTGAAATTATTGTCGGTTGTAAATATTCTTATATATGTATTAGTTACTTCTGAGAAGCCGATAGGCAATAAACAAAATTTTGTCGCGTCAAAAGCAAACACTTATTGAGAGAAAATATAATAATGAACATAAGCGTATTGTCTTTTCTATGAAAGAAAAATACGAGAGTAATAAACTCTTAGAGGAAGGTAAATCTACAACCAAGTTATTCAATGAGTACAACATTGGTTACAAAATTCATTTGTAACATTGGTTACAAAAACATTCTATTACAAAAAAGTTGTGAATTCCGAAAGAATGTTTATGTTTGTTTCATCGACTTCGAGAAGGCGTTCGACAGAGTCCAACACAATACACTTTTCGACTGCCTACGGGCAGCAGGACTTGACCACTATGATATAAGACTGCTGAAATACTTATATTACAATCAAGTAGCCTCTATCCAAATTGGAGACAGTCCCACTGAAAAAATACCCATCAAACGTGGAGTACGGCAGGGTTGTGTTTTGTCACCCACTCTTTTTAATCTGTACTCTGAAGAAATCTTTAGAGAGGCTTTGGATGACAGACAAGAGGGAGTAAGACTAGGTGGAGAAGTAATCACCAATATTAGATACGCTGACGATACAGCCATTCTTGCAGAAAGTTTACAAGATCTCCAAACATTACTAAATCTGGTCAGTGAAGCAAGTTATCGGAGAGGCCTAAAAATCAACATTTCAAAGACAAAGTGGATGGCAGTTGGAAAGATCCATATAGATCAAGGTCTGCTTTCTCTTAATGAGAAGAAATAGAAAGGGTAAATCATTTCAAATACCTTGGCAGCTGGTTAAATGTAAATTGTGACTCTGATGAAGAGATAATATCCAGGATCGAAATATCACGTAAAGCTTTTATGACCTGGAAACCAGTTTTATGCACAGAAACCTGTCAATGAACATTCGTAAGAAGGTCCTGAAATGTTATGTGTGGTCGATCCCATTGTATGGTTGTGAGACATGGACGTTAAAAACCACAATGCTAAACAAGTTAGAAGCATTCGAAATGTGGTACTATAGACGAATCCCAAAGATATCGTGGGTTTCGCACACTTCCAATGAAGATGTTCTTCAAATGATCAACTCAGAACGTCTGCTCATAAACACTATAAGAGGAGAAAACAGAATACTTCGGCCATATAATTAGAGGACCCAAATACAGTTTACTTTGCCTTATAATACAAGGAAAAGTGGAAGGAAGAGATGGATTGGCCGAAAGAAACTTTCATGGCTGCGTAATATTAGACAATGGTGTGGTTTCACAGTAGAAGAATTATTTCGCGCAGCAGCCGACAAAGAAAGGTTTCAGGAAATTGTAAACATGATGAGGACCAACGTCTGAATACGGACACGGCACCCAAAGAAGACAACATTGGTAAATATACCTTTACGGATATAAAAAAAAACAAAAGACGAGCATGAGTAACTTTATGTCCCAGCTTGATTCTTCTGATAATTCCACGAGTCGTAAAACTGTGAAACTTGCCTTAAACACGGATTTAGATAATGCTGTATATAAGCGGTTTACTCAAAAAAGATCACAGGGAGAACCTATTTCAGGTCCAATTCTGTGTGAAAAAGCAGTTCAATTCAATGAAAAACTCGGAGGGTCGTCAAATTTTTAAGCAATCACAGTCTGGTTAAAACGATTTAAGTCGAGACATGGCATTCGTGAGCTTCAAATACAAGGAGAAAACTATCTGCTGATTCATCAGCGGTAGAGTCATTCAAAATAAGACTAAGTAAATTACTGAAGGGAAAAAATTATGCACTCGAAAATGTTTACAATGCAGGCGAAACTGGGCTCAATTGGAAAGCTTTGCCATGAAAAACTCCAACTTTGCCATGAAAAACTGAGACCAAATTCAAGAAATATTCTTCTTCTTAGAGTGCCGTCTCCCTACGGAGGTTGGCAATCATAATGGCTATTTTTAATTTAGAACTTGCTGCTCTAAACAAATCAATCGATCTGCATTGGTACCAATCACGTAGATTCTTTAACCATGAGTTCTGCCTTCGGCCAACAGATCTTCTTCCTTGAATCTTTCCCTGTATTATCAGTCTCAAAATTTCATATTTTGGTCCCCTCATCACGTGGCCTAGGTTTCCAGTTTTCTGGTTTGTATAGTGGTGATTAGTTCTGTTTCTTTACCAACCCTCTCCAGTACTTCTTTATTTGTATAACCAGAGTTCGAAGGCCTCGATTCTTTTTAAATTACATTTTTTTAATGTCCAAGTCTCAGCTCCATATAATAATATTGAAAATATATAACAGCGAATGGTACGTAGTCTGATCTCCAAATTTAGATTTTTGCACGTTAGGAGTGGCTTCATTCGTATAAATGCTGATCTGGCAATCTCTATTCGTCTGTTTATTTCTACAGCATGATCATTGGTTTCATTGATCAAAGTTCCCAAATACTGATATTTTTCTACTTGTTCTATCACGTTACCATTTATTGTCAATAGGTGATGTATATTTTGTGGCCTTTTTGTAATCAGCATGTACTTCGTTTTTTTTTTGGCGTTTATAGTAATTCCCATCTCAGCACTATTTATACTCAAGCTTTCGATAAGATGTTGTAGATCCTCTATACTCGTTGCTATGATCACAGTGTCGTCTGCATATCTTAAATTATTAATTAATTTTCCGTTAACGGTGACTCCCGCTTCGATATTATTGAGCGTGTTTTGGAAGATTTCTTCAGAATATAAGTTAAACAAAAGTGGTGATAACACACATCCCTGTCTAACTCCTCTACAGATCTTCATTTCTTCTAAGTGTTGCCCATCAATTTGAACTGTGGCACTTTGGTTCCAATATAATGTTTGCACTATATTTATGATTTTACTGTCAATGCGCTTGTTCATAAGTATTGATATTAGTTTTTCATGTCTTACTTTATCGAAAGCTTTTTCGTAGTCAACGAAGCACAAGTGTAGATCAACATTCACATCCCGACATCGCTGAATTAATATGTGATGGCAAATAGTCCTTCTCGAGTACCCATTCCATTTCGGAACCCGAACTGCGTCTCGCTAATATCCTCCTCTAGCCTTTCGTATATTCTCTTATGTATTTTTTTAGCAGAACTTTTAAAGTATGACTCATGAGGCTCAGTGTTCGATAATCATAGCACTCTTTTGCTGCTTGTTTTTTAGGGATGGTTATAAATGCTGATTTTAGCCACTCCTGTGGTATTATTCCCGTATCGTACACCGTGTTGAATAAATCTGCCAATACTTCCAAGTTGTCCTCTTCCACTAGTTTTAAGAGTTCTACTGGTATTTCATCTAATCCAGCTGCCTTATTGTCTTTAGAGTTTTTGATAGCATATTTGATTTCATCTATCGTGATCTTCTGTATCTCTAAAGGATTTAATTCTTGTATTTTCTGCATTTCACCTCTTTTATCTTGGAAAAGTTCTCTAACGTACTCCTCCCATCGCTTTAACTTCTCTGGTAAATCTACTAGTAGTACTCCTTTTTTGTCTTTTATGTGTCCTTGCTGTCTATTTCGACCCATTCCAGTCACTTCTCTAATTTTTTTGTGCATATTTCTCATATCATATTTTGTTTCTAGTTCTTCTATCTCTTTACATTGCTTCATCAAATAGATTTCCTTAGCTGTTTTGTTTTTTTCCTTAATTATTCGTTGTATTTCTTTATACTTCTGTAGATCTTTTCCTTTATATTTCCTTCTTTCTTCCATCAGTAATAGTATTTCTTCTGTCATCCAGTGTTTTTTAGCCTCTGATTTATGTTCTATTAAACTTTCTTGAGCTGGTTTCAGTAATGTGTTTTTTATATTACACCACTTTTTATTTACATCCATAATTTGTTTGTTGTCAGTTAGTGTTTTTTGCATATTAACATTCACATTATTTTTTATTTCGTTTTTTATTTCTTCGTTTTGTAGCATTCTTACGTTAATTTTTGGTTGTTGTTTTCTGAGTTCAATTCTTTTTAATTTTATATTCACGTCAGCCACCAGCGGATTGTGGTCTGAGTTAACATCTGCTCCAGGATAAGTTTTAACTGAGGTTATAGAGTTTTTATATCTGCTATTTACGAGTATAAAGTCTATCTGGTTTCTGACAATGTGGTTTTCTGTATGTGAAGGAGACGTCCATGTATATAGTCTTCTTTTAGGAAGCTGAAACCAAGTATTGGCAATTACCATATTCTTTTCTTGGCAGAATTCTATGAGCCTTATTAGGAAATATATTAACAGTTAATTATTAAATAACTTTTGTCAACACACTACATAAACAAACAATAAATATATTAGGTGGACTCCTTCTACCTACTTACCTACGAAACTTAATTAGCCTGATGTTTCTCCTGGTCGAAGGTATAATATTAATTTAATGTAATAAGCAAATATTCAGAGGTATTATTGTATCAGAAAACTTATTAAGAGTCGAAAAATAAAATTCCTGGATAAAACAAAACAATATATTCAACAACACAATTAAATAGTATTGTGTCAACAACAACAATAGTCAACAACATAATTAAAATTGTATACATATGGAAATAAACAGTATTATGATCAAGAAATATCTTTACAGATACAATATAAAAAAATCATACACAAATTGAATTATTAGCGAAGGGAGCCTGGTAGTATTTAAAAAAATTCAAGTAAAGCTGATTAAAGAAATACCTCTTCGCTGTTTATGGGCTTATCTCGAGATAACGGGTACAGTAAAATTAAAAATGGATAGCAATTGTAGCAAATAAGACAAAATTATTTAAATTTAAATTCGAAAGAATACAAAAGATTACAAGCAACAGGGGTAAAGAGATTAAAAATCAATTTACCATTTTAATTATAAAAAAATGTTACAATATATTTAATATTTTTCACTCAGACTAACAATATGTTTTTTGATATATCTGCGTATCTGCACTGATGGTTTAATAGTTTAGTTTACTTATTATGATAAATTTTTAAACTATAATTTTTGTAGTTAAATATAATTTAAATTCTTCTTTTATTACTAAAAAAATCCTACCTATTAGTTTAACTGTCTCGAACTGACCCTTGGCACATCCGCAATGGGCTGGACTTCTTCCTTTTCTGTCTTGTCTATTTGGATCGGCCCCGTGAGCTAACAATAAAGCGGTCGCATCGGCGTGACCTATAAATAATTAGAAAGACATAGAAAAGATCATCAGCTATATAGACCAAATATCTTGAACATAAGAACAAGATAAAATATACAGGGAGAATCTGGGAATTGAAAAAATTTGAAGTCTATGATTCAAAAAAAGAAACGGTCTTACCAAGAGTAACAGCATAGTGTAATGCTGTACATCCATTCGTATCTATAATATCGACGGAAGCACCACATAAAGTCAACAAAGTATCCATACAGTCTGTGTGTCCTCTGGAAGCTGCGCAATGCAAAGCTGTCAAACCGTCTTTATCAGCCGCTTCGACATTGGCTCCGGCTCGAATAAGAGCCAGCACCGCTTTAGCAGAACCCGCACTGGCGGCCCAAAGTAAGGGTTCTCTCTTGTCCACATCTGTCACGGATACTTTAATTTCTGGATGTTGAAGAAGAGTTTGGAGGACTTGCAAGCCGAGGTTTGAATCTCTTTCCTATAAATAAATAGAACAAATCTATAATGAAAAACAGCACAACAGTTCCTCGCAGCACAAAGATGGAAGCGATTAGGAGAGACCTACAGCTACGATTGGTGGATAAAGGTTGACGAAAAGAGTAGGACAATATTTTTGTTGTTATATCAATGTTACTTACTCCACCACACATCTGAGCAGCATAATGCAAAGGATAGCCACCATGGACATCAGGTGTTGAAACGTGGGCCCCAGCTGCTAGTACTGCTCGTAATGCTGCTGTTTCTCCGCATACTGAAATAAAGTAATTGTTAAAACTTCTAGATATAGCGCCTGGATTAAGACCTTCATATTTTTAAATTTAAATAAAATAAAGTTTGTGTGTGTATGTGAGGCATCATTCAAATATTGTATTTGGTTGAAAGTCTTCTCCATACGTATGTATAGACATAGCATCGCCCATGCTATATGGTTCCGCCGGTTGGCTCAATTCCGAAATATTCAATTTTCCACTCTGGTGCATAAATTACTACATATTTATATTTTAAAATTGTTTTATTAGCCACTCTCAGTTATATTTAGTAAATTATTTCTTCTAATTTTTGAATTCAAACGATCCCATAAATCACTGTCACATGGACATGCTGTATACCCATTAAGCTAAACAAATTGAATACTTGATTCACCCATGTCCACCATACAATATTTATAAAACATAGCTTTCAAGCACGCCATTAACAGGAAGAAATCTTGATTTAATATCCCAATTTCTTCACAAGCGTTTATTTCATCGGACTCTGTCAAGGATAGCCGCAATGACGTTACCACAAATTAACATTTTCCATCGATTTTCATAGTTTGTAATCGGCGTAAATGCGAGTCAGGCTCTGCTGCTTTTATCTCGACTTAACAACTGGCGCTTTCAAATTTCTGATAGGCTCCACTGGATCATAAACAAAGATTATTGGTGTCGATTGTGATTCTTAGTGGCAAAATGCCGAATTTGGTGTCAACCTATTCAAATTATTGAAAAACAAATTGAAATAAACCATTTCTACATCAATCTTTCGTTGGTACTATGCAAGGTCAGTCTTTGCAAGTTGATTTGATTATCAAGGGTATAAGTATGTCAAGCCAATGATTAAAAAGAAGATTTAGAAATTGAAATTTAATTTTTCCTTTTTGTCAGACATTTTACTTGTACTTTTACACTTAACTGAAATGAAATTTTTAGTAATTTGGCCTTTAATGTCCTTTAATCAAAATCAGATTTAATAATACATTTTTAATAGCGATTTTGGGATATTTATTATTATGTAAATACATACTATTTTACTGTTTATTACAATATTCTAACAGTTACACTAAAAACAACAATTAATTTATAACATTTATTTATTTAACCATACAAATTTACATTTTCGACTGACTTATATGAATTGTAAACGCTCCTCATATATGCAGAGTGAAACAGCCAAGTGGAATACATTCGATGATAAATAAATTGGGGGTGTTTAAAAAACGCTTAGACAGTTCGATTTGTATTTTTATTTATTTTGCAATAAAAACTTTTTATAGTAATGGAGGCTAATACCAAATTTCTTATTTCAAATACAACACCCTGTATATTATTAAGTTTATAGAATATTCTAAACATGTGTCGTCTACAACGTTCTATTACCATTTAATCTTCACTTGTTTACTGCTGGACATAGATCTCCCTCATAATTTTTCATCTGTTTCGATATTGTGCTTCTGTGCCTCCTATGATAACGTTTTAGATCATCAGTTCAACATGTTGGTAAACGACCTATTATTCAGTAAGCATCATTGCGTTGTCAATGTCCAATACTTTCTTCTTCTTCTTCTTCAGCCTTCATTTATCTTCTGTGCCTTCTATGATAACGTTTTAGATCATCAGTTAAACATGTTGGTAAACGACCTATTCTTCAGTAAGCATCATTGCATTGTCAATGTCGAATACCTTCTTCTTCTTCTTCTTCAGCCTTCATTTATCCAATGTTGGACATAGGCCTCCTCCAATTGCTTCCACACTTCCCTATCTTTTGCAATTATCATCCACCGCTTTCCAGCTACAGCAGTTATATCGTCTATCCATCTCTTTTTAGGTTTTCCCATGCTTCTTTTTGTTTCTCAAGGTCTCCAGAATGTCACTTTATGAGACCATCTGTTGGTGTCTTGTCTTGCTACATGTGCTACCCATTGCCATCTCAATGTCGCTATTTTTCCCATGATGTCGGTTACTTTAGTTCTTAGACGTATTTCGGTGTTAGGAATTTTGTCTCTGAGGCTTATATTTAACATGGCCCTCTCCATGGCCCGTTGAGTTACTCTTAATTGTTCTGCCATTTTTCTTGTTGTAGCCATAGTTTCCAATCCATAAGTTGCAACTGGTAGTATACAAGTGTCATAGGTTTTTCATTTTAAGTGAATTGGGATTTTTCTGTCTTTTAAAATGAAGCTCAACTTACCAAAAGCAGCCCATGATAATTGTGTCCTTCTTTTAATTTCTAGGGTTGATTTTCCTTTTCGTTTTTAATTGCATGTCCTAGATATATATATTGTTCTACCTTTTCTATATTGATGTTCATCTATCGTGATGTTTTCTAGGCTGTTGCTTAATATCTTTGTTTTGTGGAGATTCATTTTTAATCCTATTTGATTCGATTTGTGATTTAAATCTTGTAGCATTGATTTTAGTTCATGGATATCTGTGCTTATTAGTACTATGTCGTCTGCAAAACGCAAATGGTTAAGATATTCTCCATCTATTTTTTAATCCATTTTCGGCCCAATTTAGTTGTTTGAAAACATTTTCTAATGCCAAAGTAAATAACTTGGGTGAGATGGTGTCGCCCTGTCTCACACCTTTGCCAAGGTCTATTTTCATAGTTTTCAGATCATCATCTATTTTTACGTGAAAAGTAGCATCATCGTATATATTCTTAAGGAGGGCAGCATATCTTGAATTACTCTGGCGTCGTCCAATGCTGTTAAGAAAGCCCATTCTCGATAATGTCGAATGCTTTGTGATAATCGACAAATGCCAGATGTAGTGGTATGTTGTACTCTATTGTTTTTTCAATAATGGTCCGAATTGTTTGCAAGTGATCGATAGTGCTAAAACCCTTACGAAAGCCTGCTTGCTCCACTGGTTGGTATGCATCTAGTTTAGCTATCAATCTATTTGTTATTATGTCCAATACCTATCTTTAATTGTTTTTTATTGCACGCATTTTTCAGTTACGATTTACCACTTTTTTAAATATGTTAATTATAGTTGGGGATTTTTCCAATACTTTCCTATTAAGTCTTGCCAATATTAAATAAAAAAAAATAAATAATTGTCCCATCCAGAAACAGTTCATTAAAACAAACGATTTAGTGCTTTATCAAAACTATTAATTTTTATAGTTTTTTCGTTGTAATTGAAAATGTAGAGCGGTCGTTTAATTAATATTCTTAATAATTCAGGAATTCGTGTACGATCTATTTTTCTCATTAGACAGGTATAATTTAACAATACAATAACAGTGTCATTTACATAATGCCATCAAAAGTAGACCAATAGATAATATGATTAAAGGACAATGTTCCTACGCAATATTTTTATTGTATAGAGGTCATTATATCGTCCTACTTTGTTCAGCTTAGATAAATACACTGATGTTTTTTTTTATTTTTCTATGATATAAATTTTATTATATAGGGTGTTTCAAAAAGGTATGTCATAAATTAAATCACGCATTCAGGGGACACGATACTTTCTTGTTCTTAAAGCATTTTTCATACAAAAGAAACAACAAAATCTAAGCGCACAGAAAAATTTTAAGGCGGGTGCGCAGCCCTAAATCCCCCCAAACTTTGGGCGTTGTTAGGCGACCTACAATACGGTCGCCTAACAACCCAGTCCTAACATTTAACTTTTGCGGATGCTGCGTTTGCACTGCAACACTGAGGTGCTTATTTTTCTGAGAGTAGTATCTTGCAACGGATGGATTGTTGATCAGAAAATAAAATATTTTTTAAAATGAGTACATTTTTATTTTGTTTATCTAACATAAATTCACAAAACTCCATCCGCCAATGTTATCTTCCGGAAACAGTTATTGTGCTGCTTGTATCTTAAAACAGTGATACCCATTCCTTTTGAAAACTCGCTGGACAGTTCGAGCATTCACGTTAACTTCCCTAGCAATTTGTACACTATTGCAGGGTTCACTAGCTTCCACAAATGCACAAATATCAATATCCCTGTTCTGAAGCTCCTAATCGATAGGTCTAATACCGGGTTCATTATCTTCATGAGACTTTTTAAAACTGTTAACTGTTTACACATTCCGAAGTTTGAAAATGTTTAATGGTATTTTTCACTGTTGTAGCACTTGGTGGGGGTCTATTTTCGAAGGCAACAATAAATAAATCAATTACTTCGCGTATAGAAAGACCTTGAAAGTACCATGTTACAAGTTGCACTTTTTCTTAGAAAGTATACAACGTAATAGGCATTTTACTAATTATTTGTTTATTCTTTCAGAACTTCGGTTAAAATTTTTAATATCAATGTGACAATTACGACAATTCGTAACGACTGTGAAATGAATATAGAGGTGGAAGCGTGTAACATGTCACAGCTATTGACATTGTGTTGCATGGTCAATAAAACAATGTCGTTATCTGTACACTTATTGGCACTTTGCTTTCCTAATTCATCTTCAAATAGTGCCTATTAATTACTGTATTCTACTAACAAATTAATTGCAACTTAGCGAGTCATTTCTACATTTATAGCTGTCTTTTAATTTTTTTACGATCTAGTAAATGATTTCAAAGTTTCCATACCAGTTAATAACCTAATCTGAATTCATATTTCTACCATAATTTTAAAACATGTAAAAATTAGCATACCTTCATTTATCCATTAACTTTGCATGCACTTACATCATTTCATTTATATTTAAATGAAAACTAAAATTAGTCATAAACTATGTAGACCGCTCGACTAGGAAATACCTAGACCTTGACATTTACCTTATTCATTCATCAATTTGAAATTTCCTGCACTGAGTGACAAAAGCTTCAGATTTCTGTTATAGACATGGTAATTCAGTAATTAACATACCTCCATGGCGCCAAAGAAAGCCTTTTGTCTCGAAATCTTGACAACAAGTGGATATTAAGTCGAGTCATGGCGTTTCTTTATTTAAGAATATCGCTTGAGTATATTAGTGTATTCGTTATTTGTACAGCTAATATATTTTAATGAATTTTAAACAAGAAATTGAACTTATTAACATAAAACGGATCATAATTGAGGATTTTTTGTAAATACGAGTAGAAAAACAATTTGTATTACCTGCAGCCCAATGTACAACAGTGTGCTTCTCATTATCAACAGCATTCACGTTAGCACCATTGGCCAAAAGAAACGTAACCAACTGCATATTCCCGGCAATCACAGCTAGATGTAGAGGAGTGAAGCCATCTTCGTCTCTTCCGTCCACCAGCTCTGGTGCAGCCATGACCATTAGGTCTGCTGCTTGTGATGCACAACGACTGCCACTATTGGTGGTGTAGTGAAGAGCAGTTCTTCCTGTACGGTCTCGTTGAAACAAAGATGATTCCTGGAAGATATAAAAGCATAACTTCAGTAAGACTTATAAATATAATGCCTATACAAACTTAAAAATCAAATTCTAGAACCCATATGGTGTCGATTTGCAATTATAAGTGATTTCGCTGAAGTATTCTCACCTTAAATATTTATTTATTTTAGTACATTAATAGCAAAATTCTAATAGAGTTTTAAATTAATCATGGTGTGTTACGGCATAAAAGTTTCGAAATATCTATGTCCCTTTTCAGGTGCTAATCAATGAGATTTCTTGGTTCTATATTTACTGGTAAAAACCACTTTCATACAAGTTAAATATTGTTGCTAATGGCATTCAATTAATTTCTAAATATAGAGTGAACAAACTCTATGTTCAAATATGTGATTCTAAGATCAAAATTATCTTCAAGAAAGAACAAAAATCACAAAAATGGGAAGCGAATAGAATGTACTGGTGGTGAGCAATGACAAAATTATTAAGACTGCCAAGAAGTTCTTTTTTTTTTGTTTATTTAGAGGAACAGTTGTTTTCCTCTAATACCGGGCAAGAATAATAACAAAGACAATAAATGTGGGTCTAAAAATCTTTCAGAGATTTATATAAATTAGACAGAAACAATTATTTTAAAAAAAATGAAAAATAATAAATATCCAGAAGAAAGATCATATTGTATCACAAATGGCAAACTATACAAATATATAATAAAACATGCAATACTAGAAAATACTATAAGGATTTTGTTTAATTAATGCTCAGAAAAGACTGAATAATGGTAAAATTCTGAAATTATACAAGGTGATTATTTGGAAGTTTTAATTAGACTGTTAAGAGACACTGGATAAAATTAATATCTAAAAATTTAGGAGGTGGGTTTTTTGGATATGCCCAATTATTTTAAAATATAATGTTGTCAAGTTATCACTCTAGTATTATTATTTAGCATCTAATGATTTTTCTAAGAAAAAAAAACAAAGTTACAGCTTTTGTAGCACCTTATCTTCTTCTTTTTCTTCTTCTTTTTAAGTAGGCATGACTCTGGTTTTTCAATGTGCCTCCAGTAAGTTATTGTTCCATCGTCTTCGTGGTCTTCTTACTGATCGTCTTCCTATTGGGAACTGTCTCTTGGTCTTTACTACTCTATTTGTTGTCATTCGGCTTATATGTCGTTCTATTTTACTCTTCTATTTCTTACCCAGTTCTTGATGCTCTTCACCTTCCATCTACATAGTATATCTGTACTTCTAGCTCTGTTGCATTGTGTCCTGTCATCAATTTTTCCAAGAGTTTTCATTTCTGCTGTTTCTAACATCCTTTTTGTCCCCTCTGTGTCAGGTCGTATTTCTTCCGCGTATGTCATTATTGGTTTAATAACTGTTTTGTAAATTCTGCCTTTCATTTCTGTCCTTTCATTTCTTTCCCGAACACTGCCTGGGGTGATTGCGGGGTGGATTGAGTTACTAGAGCCGGTGCCAATTCAGGATTAAATGTGGAGGGTGATTGGCAAGGTTAGCAACCTACCAATCGTAAAAAACAAAACCTGCTCAAAGAAACAATGAACTGCCTCGGAACCGGATTAATACTATGAAGACGACTACGGCAAGAAATAAGGACAAGCGAAAAACATAAAAAACCCAGATGAAAATCACTACTTGGAATATCAGATCACTCAACTCAAGGGTCCAAGGAATATCCCAAGTGCTGTAAGAGAAATAAATAGACATTTGTGCTTTACAGGAAACAAAAAAGAAAGGAAAAGGTCAATCAAAATTAGGTGAATCCATACTAATCTACAATAGAGTAGCGAAAGAGGGCCAAAGAAGGTGTAGCCTTACTAATAGAGTAAAGGCACCAAAATCACATCAAAGAGTGTCAATAGATATCAGAAAGAGTAGTAACAGCAAGAATAAAAATGGAGAAGGAAGATCTAAACATCATCGAAGTATACGGCCCAGAAAATAAAAAGCCTCAAACAAAAAGTCAGAGGAAAGTTAATAATATTGGGGGATTTTAACGCTCGAATAGGCAATCAAGTAATATCCGGCATTAAACAAAAACATTACGAGAATGTTAAGAACAAAAATGGAGAACTGATGATCAACTTCTGCACGAATAACGAACTAAGAATAAGCAACAAAAAATATCGAAAAATATCGTGTAATAATATTATGAAGTGGAAGTTGGTGGCTCTGGTGACTATTTCATTAACTGATAAAACTGAAGAGCTTTTTCCTGGATTAAATAACCACTTACAGGAATTCTTCTTTGAATTAGTTCACCAATCCAAATTGCGATGGCTCTTTCTGTTCTTTCTAATAATACATCCCTTAAAAAAGATGAAAATTTGTTGCTTAATTTTGTACCAAAAATTATAGATTTTCGTATAGCAACTTCATTCTGTTTAATATCTCTTTCTCAATTGATTCGCCTAAAATAATTTTTTTTCCAATTGCCGTAGATCCTTCTCCTTTTCCTAAGCGATCTAAAATTGCAATTTTCGTTTCCAACGAAATTGATTGTCTTTGATGTTTTTTTTTCTCCATAGGTCCAAATAAAATTTAAAAAAGAAATAAAAAATGAAAATAATAGGGACATCATGTAACAAGGGAATCCCCGAATTGCAAACTCTCACTGTACTGACATCTGGATGTAAATAATTATTATCTAATTATAATAGAAACTTTTAGATAAATTTTTTGATGAAATACAAATCGCACAACTTTAAAATCGCATAAAAATACTCTAAATAATAAGATACCTTACTGTATAAACAAGTTACACCTCTTTAAGAAACGTTCCCTTTTTATTGGTTTACCGATTTATCAAATAATATTTCAGGTATAATTACACACCTTCAAAAAACAAAACATTCAACAGCTATTCGTTAGTGGTGTGACCAGTAACACACATTCATACCCAAAATTATTGTTTCACCAATAAAAATGTAAGAACTAAAACTAGTTTTGCTGATAAGAGTAGTAAAAAACCTGTCTACAATTTATTTGACTAGGTTTGTATGTGTGTCGATTTATAATTGGTTTTGGTTGGGACAAATCACTTCGGCAGTTACTTATTTTGGAATAATTTCATTTTTAATAGAAAATTAGAATATTTTATCAATCTAAAGTTTTTTATTTAAAAAATGTGATATTAGAATGCAATAAAACGATAAAATGTTTGTTAAAATAGTTAAGAAAATATTTAAATGTAAATTGTTTTGAAAAATACATCATTTTTAACTACAAAAACAAATATTATTATTATTAGAGCTTATTATGGCGCTCATTGCGTCTACTACTGAACATATGCTTCTCTCAAATCTATTTTGAAATTGTATCGTTCATGTTCTGAATTATTTGGATTCGATTTATTTTTATTCTGTTCAAATCATCTGTACAGCTTTTAAATATTAATTTTGGTTTGCCATTGCAATATGTTATTTGTCCACTTGCCATTACTCATTCTTGGTACATGGCCAGACCAATTCCACTTTGTTTTGATCTTTCGTCGAACATATCCAATATAATATTAAGAATCAGAAGCAGAATCAAAATCACCGATACAATCTAGCCGTTAGTTCAATATGCAATTTATTTATTTTCAATACATACCTACATACCGCTCAAAAATGCACATTTATATAAATATTAGAACTACGATGATTTTTAGACCTACAAGTCGATTTCAAAGTCACATCCAGGCAAACTTTTGCAGAATTGATCATTAAAATTCACATCAGCGAACGCGGCCGTAACAATACTATCAGCAAAATCGTATCTCTTGGTAAATCAACCCAAACTTTAAAAGTTGCTATGACAATACCAAATACCGAATCATTAAGGTGCATTCAACCATAGGACAGGGAGTAAACAAAAGGGAAAATAGTTTGGGAGCTAACAAGAGCTTGGGGAAACGTTAGCTTTAATATTTTTCTTTATATATTTAATTATATAGCGATATCGCTTTGAAACCTTTATTTTTGTGTGGTACTTATGAAATTTTTACAAATTAAGAGAATATATATTTATGAAAAGGCTACATTTAAAAAAATTCCCATAATTATAAATCCGTAAAATAGTTTCGAAACACAATTCAGATTTCTACTTTATCTGAACCTTCTAAAATTGCAAGGTTAACAGAGGAATACTAAGAAAAAGGTTTTTGACGTCAAATGAAATTAATTTGGAGTTGTTAGCTAATCGAAAACGTTGTATTTTATTAACTAGTTCTATTGTATCTTTTACGGTAAGTTGAGGTGCAAATTTAGTGTGTTTTCTAAGCAACACTAAAATGTCTTCGATATGGACGCAATAGCGACATCTGATAGTAAATCCGTAAAATAGTTTCGAAACACAATTCAGATTTCTGCTTTATCTGAACCTTCTAAAATTGCAAGGTATAACAGACGTTGATAAAGATGTTAAAAGAGGCATGGGGAATATAAAATTTGCATTCCACCACATGTTTCCTCAACTAAGCAGAAATCCTTAGCGAATTGGTTTCTTGTACTCGTGCAGAATAGATCCGAATAAAATGAAAAAGACAGCAAATAAAGCGTCTATGTATCTGTTGATACGTATTTCGACCTAATATCATTTTATTCGGATCTACTCTGTACGAGTACAAGTAACCAATTCGCTAAGGATTTCTGCTTAGTTGAGGAAACATGTGGTGGAATGCAATTTTATATTCCCCATGCCTCTTTTAACATCTTTATCAACGTCTGTTATACCTTGCAATTTTAGAAGGTTCAGATAAAGCAGAAATCTGAATTGTGTTTCGAAACTATTTTACGGATTTACTATCAGATGTCGCTATTGCGTCCATATCGAAGACATTTTAGTGTTGCTTAGAAAACACACTAAATTTGCACCTCAACTTACCGTAAAAGATACAATTGAACTAGTTAATAAAATACAACGTTTTCGATTACCTAACAACTCCAAATTAATTTCATTTGACGTCAAAAACCTTTTCTTAGTATTCCTCCTACAGAAACTTTTGTTCTAGTA